CTCGGGTGCTCCCCCCGCGACCTGCCGATTCTACAAAGAGCTGGATGTGATACTTGGGGTTAACCCCACCTCCACTCCAAGCACCACCATGGACACTTCAGAGCCGGTGGGGGGGGGGAGGAGGAGGGAGGAGGAAGAGGAAGAGGAGGAGGAGGAAAACGGGAGTGATGGTGGTGGGCCGGATGGAGACACCCCGGAATCCCTTGAGCCATGCAGCCAGGAGCTCTTCTCGAGCCAGAAGGAAGGTAGCCAGTCTCAGCGGCCGGTACTTGGTGGAGGACAAACAGAAGAGCAGGTTCCTGGTAAGCGGTTTTTTTTTTCGGGAAGGAATTTTTTCGGTGCGGGCTCTTTGGGAGAGGAGGGATAGGCATGCATGCCTAGATGCGGAATAGTGCATTGATGTGGTTTATCACATCGCGGTAATCAGCCTCGGTAATCTCCTCGAATGTCTCATGCAGAACGTGGGCAATGCGCTTGCGCAGGTTTATCGGGAGAGCCACCGTGGTCCTTGTCCCAGCCAGGCTAACGTGTCCACGCCATTGTGCCGCGAGGGGCGGGGGGACCATTGCTGCACACAGACAAGCTGCATATGGGCCAGGGCGGAAGCCGCATTGCAGTAGAAGACCCTCCCTTGCTTCCCAGGTCACCCTCAGCAGCGAGATATCATCCAGGACGAACTCCTGTGGAAAATGTTGGGACAGTGTTCAGTGTAGGTGCCCCCTGAAGCTGTTGGCTCTCCCCAAGGCACAGAAACCGAGAGGACAGTGCAGCCCTGAAACAATCAGTCCCCCTTACTCACCATTTTGAGGCTCCCGTGGGATGTATGCGCTCTGTTTCGGACGGGAAAATTATGCTATTGTGTAGACCCTGTGTGTTTTCTACTCCTTGAGTGCGGGGGGGAATCATTACTCTGTCTGGTATAAACAATGCTGCCTCTGTTAAATGTTGCATTTTGCCTATACAGCTGCATCAACCTTGAGACCTCAGCCGTCCCTCTTATCACCTGCTCAGAGACTGCAAAGACTCAGGAAGAGACCGTGAAAAAGCAAAGAAGACATGCTTCAAGAAGTGATGTGGCAATCTATTAAAGAGAATGAGAAAGCACAGAACTGGAGGGAGAGAGAAAGCAGGATCCGCCAGGAAAACGCAGCGCACCGGCGGCAAAGCACGGAGCACCGGCGGCAAAGCACGGATCAGCTCATAAGCATCCTGGAGCGCCAAGCAGACGCTATCCAGGAGCTTGTAGCCATGCAAAAAGAGGAGCAGTACCACAAACGCAAATGCCACCCCTCCCTACAGCCCTTGTCCCAAAACTCTTTCCGTAGTGCCCCACTGTCACCTCCAACCCACTTTCCCCAACTTCCGTGTTCTTCACGCCACCCGCTGCCTCCATCACCAGTATCTTCACCACCTAGCCCTGAAAACCACGACCCTTACCCTCTGCACTCAACCCCCATCACCATGCAGTATAGCTATCCTGAAGTGCAGCACTCACTGCACAGCACACCAGACAGGACATACGCGAATCTGTGATTGTACCGTTCCCCACTCCACCCCCTTGTTTCTTTTCAATAAATAATTTTTTTTTCTTTTCAATAAATGGATTTTTTGGTTTTGAAAACATTCTTTATTATTGCATAAAGTAAAAGACTCCTTAGCCCAGGAAATAAACAGGCACTGCAAGTCTGCTTGTCTGCTTAGCAAACACTGATTCCTAAAGATTGGAACTACTGCACTTCACTCCCGTGCAGGGCACCAGATATCACTGCTGGTTTTCAGCCTCAAATTGCTCCCTCAAGGCATCCCTAATCCTTGCAGCCCCATGCTGGGCCCCTGTAATAGCCCTGCTCTCTGGCTGTGCAAATTCAGCCTCCAGGTGTTGAACCTCAGAGGTCCACGCCTGAGTGAAGCTTTCACCCTTCCCTTCACAAATATCATGGAGGGCACAGCACGCGGATATAACCGCTGGGATGCTGGTTTTGGCCAAGTCCAGCTTCCCATACAGAGATTGCCAGCGGGCCTTTAAACTGCCAAAGGCACACTCCACAGTCATTCGGCACCGGCTCAGCCTGTAGTTGAACCGTTCCTTGCTGCTGTCAAGGCTCCCTGTGTAGAGTTTCATGAGCCACGGCATTAACGGGTAAGCGGGATCTCCAAGGATCACAATGGGCATTTCAACTTCCCCTACCGTGATCTTCCGCTCTGGGAAAAAAGTCCCGGCCTGCATCTTCCTTAACAGCCAAGTGTTCCGAAAGATGCGTGCGTCATGCACCTTTCTGGGCCAGCCTGTGTTAATGAAACGCCCACGGTGATCCACAAGTGCCTGGAGAACCATAGAGAAATACCCCTTCCGATTAACGTACTCGGATCCTAGGTGGGGTGGTGCCAGAATAGGAATGTGCGTCCCATCTATCGCCCCTCCACAGTTAGGGAACCCCATTTGTGCAAAGCACAAAAAAAGGGGGGGAGGGATAGCTCAGTGGTTTGAGCATTGGCCTGCTAAACCCAGGGTTGAGAGTTCAATCCTTGAGGGGGCCACTTAGGGATCTGGGGCAAAATCAGTACTTGGTCCTGCTAGTGAAGGCAGGGGGCTGGACTCGATGACCTTTCGGGGTCCCTTCCAGTTCTAGGAGATAGGATATCTCCATATATTATTATTATTATAAAGCCATCCACTATTTCCTGCATGTTACCCAGAGTCATGGTTCTTCTGAGTAGGATGCGATTAATGGCCTTGCAAACTTGCATCAACACGATTCCAACGGTCGACTTTCCCACTCCAAACTGGTTTGCGACCGACTGGTAGCTGTCTGGAGTTGCCAGCTTCCAGATTGCAATAGCCACCCGCTTCTCCACTGGCAGGGCAGCTCTCAATCTCGTGTCCTTGCACCGCAGGGTGGGGGTGAGCTCCTCACACAATCCCATGAAAGTGGCTTTTCTCATCCGAAAATTCTGCAGCCACTGCTCGTCATCCCAGACTTCCATGACGATATGATCCCACCACTCGGTGCTTGTTTCCCAAGCCCAAAAGCGGCGTTCCATGGTGCTGAGCATGTCCGTGAATGCCACAAGCAATTTCGTGTCGTACGCGTTACGCGGCTCGATAGCATCGTCGGACTCCTCACTCTCACTGTCACTTTGGATCTTAAGGAATAGTTCGACAGCCAAACGTGACGTGCTGGCGAGACTCGTCAGCATACGCCTCAGCAGTTCGGGCTCCATTTCCCGCAGACAGATCGCACTGCACAGAAACCGTTGAACGATGGCGCCAAAGGTGGACGGAAACAAAGGGATTTCTGGGATGCAAAGTGATGCATCACGGGGTGTTGGGACAGGACCCAGAATTCCCTGCACCCACGCCCCCTTCCCACAACCCACGGTGTCAGAATGGGAAAAAGGTGCTCTGTGGGATAGCTGCCCATAATGCACCGCTCCCAATAGCGCTGCAATTGCCGCAAATGTGGCCACGATAGTGCGCTGGGCAGCTGTCAGTGTGGACAGACTGCAGCGCTTTCCCTACTCAGCTGCACGAAGTCAGGTTTAACTCACAGCGCTGTACATCTGCAAGTGTAGCCAAGGCCCTAGTGTATATACAGTACTCAGGTTTGCATCCTAGCTATCGCTGGTCCTGATGCTTGGTAGCCCTCTTGAAGCCTTTTACATGTAATTTAAACTACAGAGATGTGATGGAGAAGTCTACTAACTAAACTTGCTTTTAAGTCCCCCACACCCACGAACTCTATTCCGTGGAAGAAGCTCAACATTTTCCTCTGCTACCCAGCCTGTGTAACAACTTGGTTCAAGTATATTGGAAAAAAGACTTTGGTAGAGCTGTGCTAACTAAATGTCTGGTGGTGATTAAAATATGTTCTGCAGTTTAAAGTAAATAGCTTATGGTTAAAGAGTCTTTGCTTTTTCTGGGCTTGTGATATTTAATACAGGCTTTAAAATATGTGAAGTCTAGTAACTATTTAAAAAAACGTGCTTACAGCCTTTGTGTGACTCCTTTTAAAAATCTGGTTTCTTTGTGCTGAAAACCCAGCCTGGACTTGGATTACTTGTTTTTTGTAATCTGTAAGGTGCTACTTTGGGCTGGTCTACACTGGGGGGGGATCGATCCAAGGTACGCAACTTCAGCTACGCGAATAGCGTAGCTGAAGTCGAAGTATCTTGGATCAAATTACCTGGGGTCCAAACGGCGTGGGATCGATGGCCGCGGCTCCCCCGTCGACTGTGCTACCACCGCTCGCTCTGGTGAAGTTCCGGAGTCGATGGTGAGCGCGTTCGGGGATCAATATATCGCGTCTTAACGAGACGCGATATATCGATCCCGGATAAATCAATTGCTACCCGCTGATACGGCGGGTAGTGAAGACGTACCCTTTGATTGCATGCTGTAGAAAGCAGGTCAGTGCTTTCAAACTAGGCTGTTTAAAGTTAGGCCCCTAAATCAAAATGGCCTGGTTGTCAGAGGTGCTAAGTAGCCACAGTTCCCACTGGAGTCAGCGGTGGCTACGGGTGCTCAAGCACACTGCAAATCAGGCACGTCTACGCAGATGCCCAAGCATAGCATCAAGTACTGTCTTCGGCACCCTCGTTGGAAAATGTTGGCCTCAGTGAACAAGGATCATTAAAAATTTGAAAAGATGTTTCCCACAGAGAGAATCTAGCTGCTTCCTCAAAGTTAGTTAATGGGCATGTTTAGTTGGGGATTGGTCCTGCTTTGAGCAGGGGGTTGGACTAGATGACCTCCTGAGGTCCCTTCCAACCCTGACATTCTATGATTCTATGAAACTGGTAATGAAATGCTTGTGTGCGGTTCTGCTGTCATAAGATATGTCAGTGTGAAAGCAAGCAGTATTGCAGTTTGAGCATTTCTTTTCTTTTGCTTCTTTCTTCAGCAACACCTACCGTATGATTGAACAAGACGACTTTGACATTCACACGAGGTTGCACACCATAGTGAGAGGCGAGGATGAGGCAGCCATGGTGGAGTCGGTAGGCCTTGCGTTAGTAAAGCTACCGGATGTCCTCAACCGTCTGAAACCTGACATAGTGATCGTTCATGGGGACAGATTTGATGCTCTGGCACTGGCCACATCTGCAGCCTTAATGAATATTCGGATTCTTCATATTGAAGGCGGGGAAGTCAGTGGGACCATAGATGACTCAATCAGACATGCCATAACCAAACTGGCTCATTTCCATGTGTGTTGCACAAGAAGTGCAGAGCAGCATTTGATATCCATGTGCGAAGATCATGATCGCATCCTCTTGGCTGGCTGTCCCTCATATGACAAACTTCTCTCCTCCAAAAATAAAGACTACATGAGTATTATACGTATGTGGATAGGTGTGTATTGCACTTCTGTTCAAAGTTCATAAGATTTCTGTAACAGGCAGACATGCCTTTTTGTTGGCATTCTCATGAAGCTGAGACAGGATTTTATGAAGGGTATAAGCACATTTTGACAGTGCTCTTCTATCCTCTATCTCCCACCACAGAAATACATATAGACCCAGTAAACACAGACGTAACTGAAAACCTTAGTATGCTGTTTTTCAATAGAATGTTATTCCCTATGTCTTTTCCCCTGCTCTTTTGAAAGCAAAATATCCATGTCCTCTGCCTTTCACACTTTAAGGAAATGTGCCTATTATTTTGAGAACAAAAGCTTTTGGTAAACCAAAAGGAGGAAAAACAACATAAAACTTTCAAATGTTATCATACCACAATAGTCTGTTTCCAGGGCAAGATTAATAACAAGGCCAATTTGTCTGTAGCCTGGAAGACTGAGAAATAGAGGCTCCAACCTCACATATTATTTAACATAATTACATCCCATCAAATATCAGATGTAATGCTTAAATATTCAGGGGCCCCTTCCTCTCTAGAGACCCAAATGTCACATTTTGACTGTGTTGGTTTCTTCAAGAAACTCCTTCATTTCTATAATTTCCATTCTCGTATTTGTAGTCAGGAGAAAGTAACCCTACATGACCAAAAAGAGTGTAGTCAGAGATTGTCTTTAACATCTAAAACCCTATTGCTGAGTCAAAAAACAAGAGTCAAATTTGCTGAGTTCTTTGTTAAAAAATAAATTAGAACTCAGAGCTATTTCTTTGATACACAGAGGTTCAGAATCTTGTTCATATCCTTTATAACCAGACAGCTGGGAGCAGGTCTGACCTAATAATGTTAGAGATTGTGCATGGAGCTAATTTGCAGAAAATCAAGGGAATTTACATGCTGTACGTTGTTTCCTGCACAGTACAATACAGTAGCATGATATATTTCAGAGACTTGTGCTCTATGTCATCCGTTTACTTTCGGATCATTCCATATAAATCAGCATATCTTGTTGGTGTTTGACAGGAAAAATTCTTCAGCCCCTGTCAATTGGGAACTGGGTTCTTGTTAGTTCAATAGTTTAGTCATTTTCAGAATAAAGTAAAATGAACCGGCTACTCTTTATAACAAGTGAAGTATTTATGGTGGTCACTCTCTCATTTCTTTTAAGCAAATGGTGAAAAATCCATCCCTTAAGGCCCAGAAGACTCTCAGGAAACCTGAATAGACTAATGGATTGAAAGGAATACATGATCACAATGAAAATCTCAATCAGATCTGCCTGTTTGCTGTTGTGCCACAGCCTCAGGGTCAAATTCTGCTCTCATTTACAATAGTGTAAATCCAGAATACGTTAATTGGCTTCAACTGAGTTAATCCAGTTTTATGCTGGTGTAACTAGGGGCCTCGGTCTGCGCTCAAAGTAGTCTCATAAAGTTGTAGGACCCAGTACTGCAGTTGACTCTGTGCTGTAGCCTTAGACAATAGCAATTGTTCAGAGTCTTAGTTACAGTGGTAAACTTCAAACCCATATTCTCCTGTCACTCCCTTATGATCTCTTGTAGTATTGGAGCTCGTGCTAGAAATCAGATTTGCTGTCTAGAACTTGGGGAGGTTTTTGTTTCAGTGGCTTCAGAATCATTCTCCCACCACAACCACCACACTGCTAATAAAACAGTCTCTTTTGGGCTCCCTTTAAACAGGTGAAGATGTAAAACCAAGAGATTATATAGTCGCTCTGCAGCACCCTGTGACCACGGATATTAAACATTCCATAAAGATGTTTGAACTAACGTTGGATGCACTTATCTCCTTTAACAAAAGGACACTAGTTCTGTTCCCAAACATCGATGCAGGTGAGTGAAACAGGTACTTTGTATAAGTGGTTTGGTTTTTATTTTAAACTGGTGAAGAATTGCCCTCCAGATTTTCAGAACTCTCCATGAGTCACTTCACCCTCTGTCTCACTCATAGACCTCTTAATCCACCTGCTTCCATCCTTGTTCATTGCAGCCCTCCCATCTGACTTCCTCTTTCCTCTCTGCATCTTCACTTGTGCTACTTCATCTACCCACATGGAGGTAGCTTAGTGATCTAGGTATAATGTTTGAACTCACTGGAACTGTGTGCTGAATGCAGGATCACCTTCACCCTTCAATCTTCTGAGGAAGATAAAGGGAAAGCATTGCAATTTTGGGGTGACAGACAAGCTATTCTGCTTGCCCACGGGCTCTAAAATGTTTAAAAATATAATAGTAATGAAGAATAGTTGGATCTCAGACTCACAGCTGGAACCCTATGCTCAATGACACAGCTTTGAAGAGTCCTGTGGAGGGCGGGTGAGCAAAGAGTGGTTGGGAACACGTACACAGAGCTGGTGGGGGCAGTCCTAGGAATACCAGTCCGGCTGTTTTCACAGTACTTCTGTGTTAGCATCAATGACAGCAACTAACATGTCATTACAGTGTATACAGTGGCCCCTTCAGTAGCCACAGTGAAAATTCAACTATCAGTTAACGTTTTGTTCTCAATTGTTGGCTTTTTCCATAGGAAGCAAAGAGATGGTTCGGGTGATGAGGAAGAAGGGCATTGAGCATCATCCCAATTTTCGAGCAGTAAAGCATGTTCCGTTTGAGCAGTTCATTCAGTTAGTGGCACATGCTGGCTGTGTGATTGGTAACAGCAGCTGTGGTGTTCGAGAAGTGGGAGCGTTTGGAACCCCTGTCATCAATCTGGGAACACGTCAAATAGGAAGAGAAACAGGTATGTGTTTGCTGCTAAGTTCTCTGCTAAATTAACTTCCTGGGTGTTGGGTATGGTCATGTGCTTGCATCATTACAGAAGGTAAAGTCAGAGTTTAACAAGCATGTCAGTTTTATTTTTAATGGACATTATCACAGCAGGGACATTTTGACCTATCCGAATAACTTCATTGATCTGTTCCTTCTGTCCTGATGATTTTTGTAGAAAAGCCTTTTATCCATAGTCCAACTAAAATAAATATATACAGTGGCTTCCACCTACCAGAATAAACCACTGCACATGTTTTCTTTATGGGTGTAGGTACATGTGACAGGCATAAAACTATGCACTCTGGAATGATCCTGCAATTTTAATATACACATACACCACAACCAGCAGCAGGTATAAAAAGCAAATGTATAGTTTTTCTTCACAATCACACAGGTGCCTCAGATAAGACAGGAATAACAGTTTACCCTCCTGTTCTTCTCTGTGTTGTTCTTATATGTGGGAATTACACTGGAGTTAATAAGAATTCTGTTCTCTAAGTGCTTCGCAGGCAGGATACTGTATCATGACAATGTTGCTATTGACTTCAGTGGGAGCATGTCCTAACAGAGCAATGTCAGCGTAGCATCTGCATGTAAGAAGATGACACATACAGAAGTAGGGGCACTATGTGCACATAGGTCATGTTCCTTTTGAGTAGGTGTGAGGCCTTAACACATTTTGCCAGGACACACAAGTAATTGCTTGTTCATTTCAAATTCTGTTCTCTGTTCTCTTCTCCTCCCACCCCCCATTATTTATCAAGTAGCTGGCATGCACTAGAATGACATTGCATTTTTGATTATCTAGGCGAAAATGTTCTTCATGTTCGTGATGCTGACACACAGGACAAAATACTACAAGCTTTGCATCTCCAGTTTGGACAACAGTATCCTTGGTAAGTACATATATCCGCCCACTACTCTTTAGGGGACCAGAGAAAAGGCCCTTAGTTAGTACTGGGGTGGAGAATAGACTTCACCACATTTATCCAAGGTTAGCTCCCCACTCTAGGAAGAAATAATCATCTTAGATGTCTTACTACATACAAAGGAAAGCGGTCTGTGAATCTCAGAATCATTGTACAATGTTGGCAGCTTGGAACTCATACAGCAAAGCTCTGCTGCTTGATGTCTAGGATTCAGTGTCAACGTCTAGCATTCTTTAAGAAAAAAAACAAATAATGCTGTAACCTCACGGAACATGGTTAAATGAGAGCCCAGGGCAAAAAAATGATGGTAATTCCACACTTGTGCGACCTGTAGCTGGATAGCCCTTAACCCCCTCCAGATTGCTAAAGCATCCAACACATCCCGTGGCACACTCACAGAGACTTGAAATGCATTATCATGGCAGATAACATGTTATAGTTATTAATAACCTTTGAGATGTGAAATATGGTGGCCTTCTATTTTATAAGTGCTTTACAGACTTGCTGTTTTACTTACACTATAATTGGTGCTTTTTTGTATTACAGCTCAAAAATATATGGGGATGGTAATGCTGTCCCAAGAATTCTGAAGTTCCTCAAATCGATTGACCTCAAAGAGCCACTGCAGAAGAAGTTCTGCTTCCCTCCTGTAAAGGAGAACATCTCACAAGATATTGACCATATCCTAGAAACTCAGAGTGCCTTGGCTGTGGATCTAGGTGGAACAAATCTCCGGGTAGCGATAGTCAGTATGAAGGTAAGTACTATTCCACGCCTTTAATAATGTCTGTAGACACCACGGTATTCGATGGGAAAGTACTGCATTGGGGATAGTGCAATGCAGTACTGTCCCAGGGGGAGATCCTAGGTGCGCTGATGACGTGTGCCTGCTGCTGTGCTCCTTTATGGACTGTGCAGCTGGCCAGGTCTGCCGGCCAACGTGGAGCAAGGCAAAGCCATGATCCCACTGGCTCCTTCTGTCGGAGGGGCCATGCACCCACAGGGGAATAGGCGGGGAGCAGTTCCTGCGCTTCCCTGAGCACAGGGACTACAATTCAGCTTGTGCCTTTATATAGACCACACACAAGGGGAGAGACTCCTGGTGCCATTTTCCTCACTTCCCACACCACCCCCTCATATACCTTAGTAATGGACATGCAGAATATCTGAAAAAAAGAAAGAAACTAGACTCCAAGGATAATTCACTGAAGAAGGAACGGATAGTTCAGGTCATGTGATAGGGAGTTTTTCACCTCTGTCACCAATGAAAACACAGCTAGGCCAAAAGTTGTTACTTTCTGATGGCTGTTGGACCAACAGCAGGTGATAGTTGTTCTCCATTTGATACCTGAGAACAGGAGCCCAGCACTCTAAACCATCATCAGAATAGAAGGCAATTGGCACCCAGGCTGGAATTCTCAGAGAAACCCAGGACTGCATGAGACTAACCAACCCCTTTCTCTGCTAAAAGTGATTGTTCCAGAACACATTGAGGCATGTTGTGGGGTAGTGTGGGGAAACGTGCACCATCACAGCCTGCGTGGTAGATGTTCTGTGAATAAAAGACTTCAGTCTCCAGGGCTGTCAGCCCATCATCTTTCACCACCAAAGAATTCATGGAGCGTAGAACATTTTTCTTTGGCCTAGACTTGCGTGGCTTGTACACAGCTAGCTCATTTAAGTGAAGTTTCCCAGAGTGGGCGGTATGCCCCTGGGGCTGGCATGAAGAACTAGCCGGGGAAGCACAAATAGGCCTCTCAGTTGTTTCCCAGAAACGTTAGCATTAATTAAAAAAAAAAAAAAAGTGTCTAGCTGTTCTGATTGTGAAGAAAACCTTGAAAATGTGATCCAGGCGTAACTGATGAAGAGATGTTTGCAAAAAGCCTGAAACAAGAGCTTGGAGGTGTTAACTGCCTCATTCACTTGACTGGGTACAACTCAGGCACCAATAATGATCCTTTAAATTTGGTCACTATTGTTAACGATTTCACCACTCAAAGCATCTAAGACAGGAGAGAGAGTGTTATAATGCGAAGATGTACACAATCTACTCTGATCTACTGTAAGGGTATGTCTATGCTAAGGAGACCACACTAGCATAGCTAGGTCCCTGTAGCTACAACGGCATAACCCTATATTGTGGATGCAGCCTACACGGACACAATGAGTTTTTCCATTACTGTCGGAACACCACCGCCCTGAGCGATGGCAACTACGTCAACTCCGCTATCAACGTAGCACATTTACCTTGGGGTTAGGTTGGCATCGCTACAGTGCTCAGGAGTGTTTGGTTTGGTTTTGGGTTTTTTCGCACGCCTGGCAGATGTAGTTATGTCGATCTAGCCCTAAATGTAGACCAGACCTGAGTGACTCCCTGTTTTTGAATATGCATTTAACAACAGATGGCAGAGCTGAAGGTGCAGTTGGTTTAGTTTCCCTGAAGGGTGGGACTCAGTTTCTGAAAGTTTGGAAACCACTGCTTTCAAAGAGCTTTCAAGCTCTTCTGGCAAAGCCAGAACAAAGAGATTACCTTTAAAAACTTCTCTAGTTACTTTTTTTATTTTGTTCCTGAAAAAACAAAAACTGGTGGAGGAAACTAAATGAAGATTAAAGGAAAATAAAATGCCATCATTGATGTAATGCTGACCTTTGAGTGAGAACCAGCACTCAAATGTCAGGAAATTCCCAAAGCTGAAGTTGCTTTGGTAACGTTAAGTCAGTCATATGGTATATATGCAGCATGGTCTATTCCTTTCCCCCTTGTTAAATGTAAACCACAGTGCAATATACTGCAACCAGAAAATACACAGGATGTGCTTTGTGACAGAGATAACATCACCAGGGCATACCTTCACTTTGAAATGTATTCACTTCTTAGTGTTTGATCTTGCAAGCTTAACATTGCATTAACTTTCGTTTTCCCCCCGCATCCACACATAATGAATGCTTCCATTGTTTTATGAGTGTTAGGTTATAAAAATCCTCCCCTCCTTCATCCCCCACACAAACAGACGTCAGAGATTACATTACTGCAAAAAAAATGTTTCAAAGACTGATATTCAGAGTCAACGTTGCTGTGTAAGAAACAATATTTATAACAGATGACCTTTAAATTCTCTTAACAAGCTTGATAAGACTAATTCCTGCATCTGAATTCCAAGCATGTGTGTCTACTTAAGTTTCCTGTTGCCAGTAAAATAGCAATATTTATGACACCAAACAAACTTTTGTTTAATTGTATTTAAAACTAAAAAACACTTCCTTTTTAATCCAGCCACTGATCATGAAGCTGTTTGAGTTGTCCCTTCCTCCCCTTCAATGCTGCTGGGACAGAGCAAAACCTTCAGCATATCACATTATGGGTTGCTGTTTGCAGCAACTTTATGACAGCCTGTGGCATATTCTGTTGCCAGCTTCAAGGTCCTTGTCTTAGATGTATGTTGTATTTCAGCTTGTAGGGCTTGATTGCAGAAACCAGTGTAGGGCCCCACATGGGTGCAAGGGGCCTGCCCACACAGATAATCTTGCAGGGTCAGGGCCAAGGCTTGTATCTTTTTTTTTTCTTCCCAGTTGGAGGTAGGGCTGTGGCCCTTTGCAAATATAAAATTGTCTTTAAAGCTGACGGGTCTGTAATTTAAACAGAAGAGAAGTCATTCATTTTGCAGGGCATTTAAATAAGTGGACAGGCCTGACCGTTTTTCCCTCTTAGGGTGAAATAGTGAAGAAATATACCCAGCTCAATCCTAAAACCTATGAGGACAGAATAGGATTGATTCTCAAGATGTGTATGGAGGCTGCATCAGAAGCTGTAAATCTGAACTGCAGAATTTTGGGAGTGGGTAAGTTAATGAATATTGAATTTTTCTTCCAGGACTTTAAACACTAAACGAGATTGTTCCAGTTGTGTTAAAAAATGGATCCCGGGCATTTTCACAGCTTTTATATTGACAGTTTTATTCCTTTATTTAGTGCATATGATAAGGGATGCTTTTTAAATGCATGTGAAAATGAGGGGCTGAAAACACAGACTAGAGTCAGCCCTCTCTGAGTAGAAACTGTGAAAGCTATCCACGAAGCTATGCCAATGCACCTCAGTCCCAACCTACAACCCCACAGTATTCCCAGAACTGGTCATTTCCTAAGAAGAACTTCTCATTCATGCTGATTTCTGTGGCGTTTGATTCTAGGGCCATGATTCTGAATAGCACTGCCTGGCTGGTGTTGCTGAGGAGATACAGCCCTGAGGGTGGTGGGTGGCAAAGGTGGTTTTTTAACCTACCTTGACGTAGGGGCCCAGCCCCAGAATTTGGAAAGCATAAGTTAGAGCAGCCCCTGAAACTGCCACCGCTGACAGACACTTCCTACAGCTGTCTGTGGCGAATAACTTGGGTGCCAAGCCCCTTGACTCACCAGAGCAGCATAAAGAGGCCAAAACACAGTCCAGAAGGAATGCTTATGTCCACAGAGCTGGAAGGCAAGATAGTTTTTCATTTGCTATTTCAATTACACTGTAGCAGAAACCCATTTTAAATTATTTTGTTTATACTGTAACCGGTCCCAGCTTCATTCTGCTTAATGACTGACTAAAAGCTTTGTTCTGAAACATTTATTTTAGTGGAAAGGATTCTGTTTAACCAGAATATTAGAACCTCGTTCCATTTTGGCCAAAGACAAGTTTTGCTCTAAAACCAAAATTCTGATTAAATCACATGGTAGAAAAATATTACTGTCAACTCTTGAAAATTCTTATTTGCCATAATGAGCCTGGAAAAACTTCAGTGGTGAGTACATAAAAGCAAAAGAAGCAATGTACACGTGTGTGATCCAGATCCCTGAACTGAAGGATTACAAAAAGGCAATTTATAAATTCTTTATTGCCAGAGAGAACTTTTTTGAGAAAATTCAATCTTAAATTATTATACTACTACATTAAATAACGGAATCTTTCAGAATAATGTCAGTGAACAAAAGGTCCTGTTTGACATCTTAAATTATTATACTACTACATTAAATAACGGAATCTTTCAGAATAATGTCAGTGAACAAAAGGTCCTGTTTGACATCTGATGTTTCATTTGGACTAAAAGTTTTCTGTACTTGGCCTCAAAGAATTAGTTTGTGCTGAAGAATTCACTTTAATATAAAACAGTTGTGAGGAGTCATTGAGAAGTCATCATTCTTAAGAAAATAAAATGCTATTTTTCTACACATGACAATCCCAAAGAAAGAGATGTATTTTGTACTTCAGTTCAGTACTTTGTTCTCAGTCATCAAGTTCAAATGAGCCTTGATGTAACTTTGGAGCTGTTGTAATCTTAATGATGATTTTTGTTGTTTTGTCATTATTAAAATAAAATTGGAAATAAAAGAAATTCAAATAACTTGTTAGATGTGACGTGAAATCGAAAGAATTATAGAACACCTGCAATGATGTTTTTGGGATATTCTGACTTCCATTTAAACAAATGGCAAAGGGACATTAGGGTTATTTTTCATGTTATGGAGTGCACACTTCTGAGTTCACCTCAGCTATTCAAGTAATAATACATGCCACCCACAGCAGTAAGCTACAAGGCAAGGCCTCTTCTGCTTCTGGTATTGCAAAGTGTTTTCAAAGTTCTTATTAGAACTTCTCTTATAACCTACACAATATAAATATCATCAGTCACTTAAAAAAATAAATGCACAGTGGGCTAATTCCTGCGCAGTTACAGCTGTGTATCCTTCACTGAACTTAACTTGGTTGCATAGATGGTAACTGAGAGCAGAATTCTTTGCTATGTTGGAAAAACAGGACTTACCTGAAAAGTATCCTCCAGCGCTATTTATGGTCGATGTGATGTCACCAGCACAATGCCTGCCGGGCCATCACGCCAAGATGGCTGGCCATTTGCGAACATGAAAAATGGTAACTTGTTGAAATGCCCTAAAGGGAATCGTAACTTTTTTCAGAACATATTTGTGAATCATCTTTCTGGCAGACACTGTGAACCAAATTCTGGGCTGACTTACTCCCCGTGTACTGGGAGTTCATGTGGATGTAAGTCCATGTAGAATTTACCCCTGTATCTATAACTCCTTATTTTGTACTTAAATACTGCAGTGCAAAAGATCACACATTAAGTGAGACTATCCAAGACACAGCCAGATTCAGCCCTGCTGTTATCTTACTGATGTTTGACATTAAGGATGAATTTGGTCCAGCAGGACAAACAGAGACCAGGTGTAAATAGGTCCAGCACCTCTGGAAGTCTCCTGGCCAAATTCAGCAGTGACTTAAACAGTGGCAAACTTCCGACGTTGAGTGTAAGGTGGTCAGATATTAGGTGTTAGTAACCAAATGGTGTGACTTGCATGGGTGTGGCATTCAGTGGGTGTGCAAGCGACGTGTAATTTACATGCTGAAAGGGAGGAGAGATGTTAGAAATAGCATCTTATAAGATAAAAGGGTTAATTTCTCCAGTGCTGTGTGCCTTGTCACCCTGCACACCTGTGCAGTGTGTGTGTCAGATGCTACCAGATCAGAGTGGTATTGTGGTACATCCACTTCATTCAGGTGCAAATGATGACCCAAGGTGCAGGGCAGTGGAAAATCAGACCCAAAGAGTGTGGGCCTGATCCTTCTCTTCCACTTGTTGTTGGCTCTGTGTGTGTGAGAGGCTGTTTTATTTTATCTCCTCCTCTTAGTTGCATTTCCTGTCACATTTCCCTTTCCTCCTCCTTGTGCAAGATGTACTCATTTTGCACAGCTACTGAATATTAACCCAGTGCAAGCTGCACTATGTACACCTATTTTTTTGTGATGAGACTTGCACAGCTGCTTATGTCACTGCTGAATTGGATGCAGAATCATAGCTGTAATGCTGAGTTTAGTTGACTTGTCATGTGACTTTTCGTAACTTTTTTTTATCATTATTGGACTGATTTTTCAGAGGTGCTCAACAATCAAACCACATGTGAATTTGTAATTCTGGTCTGTGGATTTCTGGGCGATACCATTTTTGGAGTGTTCTAATTAATCAAAATTAAATAAACCCTTATAATAATAGAAAGCTGTCCTTTCCCCTTTCATCCTACAACTCTCAGTAGAGGGACTGTTGCAAAGGGTAATGTGGACGCTGATGGAAGTGAGCACTCCAGCGTTTAACAAAACCTTTGGATATTTTCCCCAAGTAGGAACTATTTAAACAAACCTGTTGGGCCTGATTCTGATGTAACTCCATTGATTTCTGTGGGTCACTCCTGATTTACATTGGTGAGAGATCAAAATCAGGCCCATTAAACTTTTAATTGGCGACTTAAATATTATTAGCTACCAAAGACCCTATTGTCCTTGCACAAATTAACTATCATAGTGAGTTATCTTTGCTCAATATCTGACTAATGATTTTCTGCTGAACGTTACTTTCCTGTACAATGCATGAATTTATACCCGTGACTTAACTCTTAATCCTTGTATCCAGTGGTTCCTGCTATGTTACGTGTGTGAATGGATTCTGCACTGATTAAATAATGGATTTTCTGTGCCAAGCAAATCTGTTTTCTGAAGCTGCATTCCAGGGTAACCACGTTAACTGGCTAACATAACCCCAGCAAAATACTAGTCTTAGTGTGGGTTTACAAAACAGGACATCATAAATTAATGCAGGTGCTAAACATCATTACAATTTAACAATATAAAAATTTTGCATACTGCAGCTACTTAAAATGTTACTAGCTGTTGAATTCATTGCGTATAACACTTGGCTGTTTTGGGAGTATGGTTACACATTCTGCTGTATGCATTGTACTGTGGTGAAGAAAATGTAAGTAGTAGTTTGAAAATTTTTGTAGCTTTCAAGCAATTTCTTCTGCATATCTCCATGCTGTAACAAGACATGTTCCCTCTAATTGGGTAGTTTTAGATAAGCATTTTTGTTGGCTTTCTACTACACCCAGCGCCAGTCTGTCTCTGCTGGATATGTTGGAAATCAATAATAACCTTGGCCATAAAGTATGCCTTCTCTCAGCTAAAGCCCTCTTTCATGCATAATGGGGATCATTTATATTTGGCCTTATGTCCAAGTTTCAACCAGTTGGATTTGATTTAAAAAACCCACACACCATATATATACATAGTGGTGGGAACCTCTGATAAATGGATGCATGATTCTTTTCCCTACCCATTTGACTGCCTCACCTGCACTCTGCCCACTATTCCAACACTGGCAGGACTATTTTATTATTTAATTACATTACAGTCCCAACTAGCCTGCCTAATCAGTGTTAGGGCCCCATTGAATGAGGTGCCATACCTTCCAAACCTCTGAGCAGCTCCAAGCAACTTCTTTTTTTAGTATAACAGAATACCTTTGCAGAGAAATGTTTCCTCCTTCCCTTGACAAAAATGTTGAATTTCTCCCTCAGTTACACTAGTCTAAGGACCGGGGTCATCAGGAAGTATTCAGCTGTGCACCAGTGATAGGTTCATGATCCAGTACTTTGTAACGTATCAGAGCTAACAGTGGGAGCTTTATTTCATTAGGAAGATTAAAAAAAACAAACTCCATTTTCCAGTAAGATGTCAGATGTTGAAATCCAGATACTGTGATCTATGGAAGTAAAAATGCAAATTTAAGTAATTTTAGAGCTTTCTGTCTTAATTATAATTATCCTGTCCATCCAAAGTCTGGGGTGTGAAATAAGAGGAATAATTTAAAAAAAATTAACCATCAAGCACTTCGAAAATAATTTTTCTGTAAAACGTGTGGCATATTCCAAACCTATGATTAGTGGTATAAACGTTTATTTGCACTCATTAAGGCTGACCTGTACAACTCACTCTTGTCATTGCCACTCATGAGGAATGCAGCTATTCCAAACTCATGCTGATATCACCTTTATATCATGCCACACCCTCATGCGTTCTCTGTATAAAAGCAGTGACCAAAATGTTTATACTTGCGTATCTTAAACTAGCCACTCTAGTATTTATTTAGACACCTCATTAGGTGGACCCACTTTCCGAGGTGCTTTGCACTCACATTCCCACTAATGTCAGGAGTTTTCATCTGAGTATAACCATTGTCTTCTCAATATAAACTTGCCTAATAACTCTTTACTCTGTGTATTGTTCTCCAGGACAAGTCCCATTCAGACACGTACTTCGATACTTTACTATCCAAGTTCCACTGTTTCTCTTTCATTCATCCTAAATGTTTATTTATCCACTTTCAGCAGATTTTACTGATCGTAGAATCTTAGGACTGGAAGGGACCTCAAGAGGTTATCTAGTCCAATCCCCTGCACTCATGGCAGGATTAAGTACTATCTAAACCATCCCTGACAGGGGTTTGTCTAACCTGCTCTTAAAAGTCTCCTATGATGGAGATTCCACAACCTCCCTAGGGAATTTTTTCCAGTGCTTAACCACCCTGACAATTAGGAAGTTTTTCCTTATGTCCAACCTAAACCTCCCTTGCTGCAATTTAAGCCCATTATTTCTGGTCCTATCCTCAGAGGTTAAGGAGAACAATTTTTCTCCCTCCTCCTTGTAACAACCTTTTATATACTTGAAAACAGTTATCACGTCCTCTCTGTCTTCTCTTCTCCAGACTAAACAAACCTAATTTTTTCAGTCTTCCCTCATAGGTCATGTTTTCTAGACTTTTAATAATTTTTGTTGCTCTTCTCTGGACTTTCTCCAGTTTGTTCACATCTTTCCTGAATGTAGTGACCAGAACTGGACATAATACTCCAGTTGAGGCCTAATCAGCGCAGGGTAGAGTGGAATAATTTTTTGTCATGTCTTGCTTACAACACTCTCGATAGTACATCCCAAAACTATGTTTGCTTTTTTTTGCAGTAGTGTTATACTCTTGATTCATATTTAGCTTGTGATCCACTCTGACCCCCAGATTCCTTTCTGCAGTACTCCTTCCTAGGCAGTCATTTCCAATTTTGTATGTGTGCAACAGATTGTTCCTTCCTGGATGGAGTACTTTGCATTTGTCCTTATTGAATTTCATCCTATTGACTTCAGACCATTTCTCCAGTTTGTCTAGATCATTTTGAATTTTAATACTATCCTCCAAAGCACTTGCAAGCCCTCCCAGTTTGGTATCGTCCGCACACTTAATAAGTGTACTCTGTATGCCATTATCTAAATCATTGATGAAGATATTGAACAGAACCAGAACTGATCCCTGCGGGACCCCACTCATTATGTCCTTCCAGCTTGACTGTGAACCACTGATAACTACTCTCTGGGAACGGTTTTTCCAACCAGTTTTGCACCCACCTTATAGTAGTTCCATCAAGGTTGTATTTCTCTAGTTTGTTTATGAGAAGGTCATGTGAGAAGTATCAAAAGCTTTACTAAAGTCAAGATATACCACAGCTACCACTTCTCCCCTATCCACAAGGCTTGTTACCCTGTCAAAGAAAGCTATCAGGTTGCTTTGACACAATTTGTTCTTGACAAATCCATGTTGACTGTTACTTATCACCTTATTATCTTCTAGGTGTTTGCAAATTGATTGCTTAATTATTTGCTCCATTATCTTTGCAGGTACAGAAGTTAAGCTGACTGATCTGTAATTCCCCGGGTTGTCCTTATTTCCCTTTTTATAGATTTGCCCTTTTCCAGTCCTCTGGAATCTCTCCCGTCTTCCATGACTTTTCGAAGATAATTGCTAATGGCTCAGATATCTCCTCAGTCACCTCCTTGAATTTCATCAGGCCCTGGTGACTTGAAGACATCTAACTTGTCTAAGACTTTGTCTACATTACCACTTTTGTTGGTAAAACTTCTGTCTGTCAGGATCGTGAAAAAAACACACCCCTGACTTATATAAGTTTCACCAGCACAAGTGCTGGTGTGGACAGCGCTATGTCGGCAGGAGAGGCTTTCCTGCCGATATAGCTAACACTGCTCATTGGGGGTGATTTAATTATGCTGGTAGGAGAGCTGTTACATGGGAGACCGTAACAACGGCCTAGCTGTAGTGGTAAAGCTGTGCTGCTGCAAGGTCCGTAATATACACATAGCCTAAATAATTTTTAACTTGTTCTTTCCCTATTTTAGTCTCTGATCCTACCTCATTTTCACTGGCATTCACTACATTAGACGTCCAGTCGCTACTAACCTTTTTGGTGAAAACTGAAACTAAAAAAGTCATTTAGCACTTCTGCCATTTCCACATTTTCTGTTACTGTTCCCCGCCCCCCCCAATTGAGTAACGGGCCTACCCTCTCCTTCGTCTTCCTCTTGCTTCTCATGTATTTATGGAATGTTTTCTTGTTACCCTTTATGTCTCTAGCTAGTTGAATCTTGTTTTGTGCCTTGGCCTTTCTAATTTTGTCTCTACATACTTGTGTTATTTGTTTATATTCATCCTTTGAAATTTGACCTCGTTTCCACTTTTTGTAGGTCTCTTTTTAGTTTCAGATTATTGACGATCTCCTGGTTAAGCCAGGGTGGTCTCTTGCCGTTCTTTGCTTCGCAGTGGGATAGTGTGCTCTTAATAATGTCTCTTTGAAAAACTGCCAACTCTCTGGAATTGTTTTTTCCCCCTAGACATGCTTCCCATGGGATCTTTCCTACCAACTCCCTGAGTTTGCTAAAGTCTGACTTCTTGAAATCCATTATCTTTATTGTGCTGTTTTCCCTCCTACCATTCCTTAGAATCATGAACTCAACCATTTCATTGAGCTGCCTTCCACTTCCAAATTCTCAGCCATTTCCTTCCTGTTTGTCAAAATCAAATCTAGAACAGCTTCTCCCCTAGTAACTTTCTCCACCTTCTGAAATAAAAAATTCTCTACAATGCATTCCAAGAACTTGTTGGATAATCTGTGCCCTGAATTGCTGTGTTTCCAACAGATGTCTGAGTAGTTGAAGTCCCCCATCACCACCAAGTCCTGTGCTTTGGATTATTTTGTTAGTTGTTTAAAAAAAGACTCATCCACCTCTTCTTCCTGGTTAGATGGTCTGTAGTAGACCCCCTACAATGACATCACCCTTGTTTTTTACCCCTTTTATCCTTACCCAGATACTTTCAACAAGTCTGGGTTGCTTGACACTTATTTAAGATGGACAAGTCCTTGGTATTATACAGGTTTTTTTTATATATGGCTAAGAAGAGGCACAGAAGCAACTTACCCAACACCGCCTAAAATAAGAAATTGAATTTTCAACTGGTTAGCTGGGACACTGAGCACATATTGATAAGGATGCTAGAATTCTGTTATTTCTTGTTTCATATCATAACTGATGTAATATATTGCAAGTGAGGCGTAGGACTGTTTTTGTTTAGATTCAGAAATATATCATGTAGGGTTAAAAATAAAAATCCTTTTCCTCACACAAGGAGCAAATCAATTGTAGTTCCAGAGTTATTTAGCCTTAGCCTTGATTTTTCTCTCGTGTGTTTTGGGGCTCAGGTATTTCTACAGGTGGACGGGTGAATCCCCGAGAAGGAATTGTGCTTCATTCCACAAAGCTCATTCAGGAGTGGAGTTCTGTTGATCTGAGGACCCCGATATCTGATGCTCTGCACTTGCCAGTCTGGGTGGACAATGATGGCAACTGTGCTGCTCTGGCAGAGAGGAAATTTGGGCATGGAAAAGGAGTGGAAAATTTTGTAACGCTAATCACTGGTACAGGTAAATGTGAACACAGAAATCAAAGCCCTGAATTCCTGCTGTCTTTATGTCACAAAACAGCTGCATTAGTGGGAGCCGTCCTCCAGTTCCAACACTGTAATATAATTCCCTTCCAGCTGCAGAAAATGTAGGTCCGATCTGGAGCTGTATGTAGTAGCTAAATGAGGAGTTCAGCTTGACACATCATCCTAGTAGCACATTGTGGCACTTTGATGGTGGGTCTGACATACTTGTTTGATTAAAAAGATATGGACCATTTACACGGGTGTCAGTCACCTCAGGTGAAGAATCCTCACTTGTTAAAAACAACAACAACAACAAAAAACTCAATCCAAACCATACTTGCATATGCATGGCTAGTATGTCTCTGCTAGTGTAGACTAGATGTTAAAAGACATAATCTGGGCTGATCTTGAGCTAAGGAACCTGACTTCACACATCCAATATCACCACCGCTGCATTGCGACATCCAGGCCTGCCCACTGCCATCCGAAATAGCGAGGGAAGAATGCTAATGAATAATAAACAATAGTTTGTAATGCAAACCACAATTTTATACTAGATCTAGGACAAGAATTCTAGATGCACCACATCTGAAGGATGTGATTTACTTTTAGTATTTACAAGTTTTGATAAGATTTTGCTTCTTAAGCATGAATTAAATATTTGTTTCATGCATAAAGAATTTAGGACTACTATGACAGCAATTATTAACTTGCAGGCTGAGACATAATGTCTACATGTGCCCCTCAATAACCCTCTTTGACTAAATATCTCATGAATAAATTATACCATGACATGACCAATGAACTATGCATTATAGGTGTAAGTTCACCTTACCATCCAGGGGCTGGGGAGACTTATGCATTTACTTGCACCAAGTGCATTAAGCAGAGAAGAGATTTGTAATGACTACACCTTTATTTGGTCCTAATACAGTGATGCACAGATACATGTATTTAACTCCTTCCCTTTTAAGATAAGGACATGTAAGTGCCCTGCTGAATCAAGACCATTATGTTACTGTTCTTTTACTATCAGAAATTTGTATATGCTTATAGGAATTGGAGGTGGAATCATTCATCAACATGAATTGATCCATGGAAGTTCCTTTTGTGCTGCTGAACTTGGACACATTGTGGTGTCTCTAGAAGGACCAGAGTGCCTATGTGGGAGCCATGGATGTATAGAAGCATATGCCTCTGGAATAGCCTTGCAGAGAGAAGCTAAAAAACTACATGATGGTAGGTGTATTTTTTACCTTCTTTTTAATGTAATTGTTCAATCTTCTATAATGCAGCAATTAAATGCAAAGAGCGTCCGGCCTAAAATGGCATTTTAGGCATGCCACTGGGGCAGCCTTAAAAGTTACCTTCCTTTTTACAGTTCAGTAACATAGATTCACACACCCTGTTGTATCGTTATTCCAACTGCAGATTTGTTATTAATGTTTCCCTCCGGGCTTTCTCTTCACCCCAAACAGAGGATCTGTTGTTAGTGGGCGGAATGTCAGTGAAGACGGAAGAGACCATTAGTGCTGTGCATCTCATTCAGGCAGCTAAACTTGGGAATGCAAAGGCTGACAGCATTCTCAGAACAGGTAAGAACCTAGACCTAGGGTGGGAAGCCCACTTAGAACGAGAGAGAAATTCCTAGAGCTGTAGAATTGGTATTTCACCACAGCAGGCCAAATCCTCAGCGCAGCTGTGATGGTTTCTACAGAACTACGCTTGAGTGAGGGATCTGGCCCTTTAGGCGTGGCAATCATGGATAGGAGCGGTACCAATGACTAGTGGGGAATTGTGAAGAGAATGGGCTAGTGATCCTGTCCTGTCTCCAACAAACTGTATTCTAGGACCGTGTTAGAGACTTGATTAAACAGATTACAGATTGCATGGTCATGGGACCCTTCGCTATTTCTTTTGGGATTTCCTGCTCCAGGGGATTAGAATATTAAAACATCATGCTTTTCCTTTTCTTGTGGCAAGCAAAATAGCTCTGGCTTCACACTGAAAAAAAGGTCAGGTTCTGATAATTCAGTATTGGTATGAGAAATTATGGGACACTTCAGTGATGGGCCAATAAATATATATGCGAGGCAGCCAAAATGAAATGGTTTCTATGAAGCGTTGTTCCAGTTTATACAATACTTTACAATGCACAGTTTTTCTGAGTTTTCAAAAGAAGCATTAAATATAACCAGTTTCCTTACAGGTTTCAGAGTAGCAGCCGTGTTAGTCTGTATCCGCAAAAAGAACAGGAGTACTTGTGACACCTTAGAGACTAACAAATTTATTTGAGCATAAGCTTTCGTGGGCTACAGCCCACTTCATCGGATGCATAGACTGGAACATACAGCAAGAAGATATTTAAGAAGTTTCCTTACGTGTAACCAATATAGCAGAAGGAGGTAGAATAGCATTTTCTTTCCTTTGTTTCCCCAAGCACAGCAATATGTGTTGACTTACCTCTCTCATCTATATCATGGAATAACGTTACCTGGCTATAAACCATTGAATTTTTCTTTTACTCTCGAAAGAAAAGAGAATGATGAGCCCAAGTGTCCCAGCTAGCTGTCCTAGTATTATACACTAATACTTTCTCTAAAGGAAAGGAATACATTCTGTTGTAATTCTAGTGTTCTGGGCAGAAAATCATAAACGTCTGCCATATGGAATTAAAAGCTTTCCTGACCACAATATTAATTACTCCCGAGGGAATTCTGCACCAAAAAAGTTAAAAATTCTGCTCACAATATTTTTTAAATTCTGCAGATTTCATTTTGTCAATAAATAAATGTGGAGGCTCCAGCATGGCAGGGAGGAGCACAGGCCACTGGCTGCACAGAGGTGGGAGATCACCCTGCAGGGCCCCCCCCCCCACCTCCTTGGAACATGGACTTGGCAGTGAGGTTGCACCTGACTCTGAGACAGCGCAAGGGCCGGGCCTGCCCCAGAAACACCCCGGAGCCCTGCCCCTCCGTGCCTGGCACACCAGGATCCAAGTGTGGAGGGGCTTAGTGTGGGGAGATCCAGGTGTGGGGTGAGAGGATTCTGTGTGGCCCAATCTCAATGCACAGGGGCTCATTGGGGTGTTCCGGGTGCAGGGGCAATGGGACGCTGCAGTGAGGTCCAGATGAAGGTGGTTGGGGCTCAACAGGTTTGGTCTAGGTGTGGGGGGATGGGGCTCAGAAGGTGGGGTCTGGGTGTAAGGGGCTCAGTGGGGGGTTGGGTGCTGGGGGAGTAGGGCTTAGTGGGGTTTGGGTCCAGGTACCGCTGTTTGGGGCTCAGTGTGGTGGGGGTTTGGGTGCAGGGGGCTCGTCAGGGTGTGTGGGGTGGTCTGGGTGCAGAGGTGGGGGTCCTGATGCAAGCAGTGAGGCTTGGTGGGATGAGGGTTCAGGTGTACGGTGAGCAGATAGCAAGTGTGAAAAATCGGGACAGGGGGTGGGGGGGTAATAGGCACCTGTATAAGAAAAAGCCCCGAATATCGGGACTGTCCCTATAAAATCGGGACATCTGGTCATCTTATGTAGGGGACTCATGGGGGGTGTCTTGGTGCAGAGGGGGTGATGCTCGTCAGGAAGGTCTGGGTATAGGGGGGTCTGGATGCACCAGGGTTGGGCGGACCAGGGAGCAGCTCCCCATACAGTGACCCCTCCCACTGTGGCTGAGAAGCGATGGTGGCGGGAAGCGGGGGGGGGGGGGGGTGGAGCTTCCTGCAGCCTGGAGAGGTTTCTGGGGGTGGGTCCTTGCAGGGAAAGAGGAGTTGAGACTGGCCCAGCATAGGAGCCACCGGCCGAGGTGTCCCTAGCCCTGCCCCTGTCCCCACTCCCTCCCCCACAGTGATTTACCTTTCCACCAGCTGCTCTGGGCTCCCGAAACAACATGCCCGCACTGCTGGAGAGAGGTGCGTGACTGCTCCTGCAGTTTCCCTTTGCTTCCCTGTCAGAAAGTCATTTTTCTGCGGGGAAGCAAAGAAATCTGTGGGGGACATAAATTCTGTGCACATGCAGTGGCGCAGAATTCCCCCAGGAGTAATTAATGTGTTTAGAGACACTAGGTCAGACCCTAATGTTCAGATTCTTCTGTGATATTGTCTTTTTGCTGTAATGGCTCTTTCCTTTGTTTTCACAGCTGGGACAGCTCTAGGCCTTGGCGTAGTGAATATCCTGCACACCATGAACCCCTCTCTAGTGATCCTTTCTGGAGTTTTAGCAGGCCATTACGTTAACATCGTCAAAGACGTGATCCGTCGGCAGGCTTTGTTCTCTGCTGAGACAGTGGATGTAGTTGTCTCAAATCTGGCGGACCCTGCTCTGCTTGGAGCTGCTAGCCTGGTGCTAGATTACAGTACACGCCGAATATACTAGGTACCTGGGGAAGTTCCAGAAATGGACAGTCCAGCTGTATAACTGTTCTGGAGGGTGGGGGAAATACTGTGCCCAAAGTATTTCCTGCTGACCATCAGCTTTATCTTCTGTAGTAAAGCAGACTAGTGTTTTAGGTAGTTAGTTACTACTTCAGTATTTCCTTATTGTAGTAATACCTCTTTGTATTTTTTTCTACATTTTAGCCAAGTTCAGATGAAGTAATGTGCATTTCCATTTTTTTGTTCACCTCTGTAGCTTGGGAGCTCAAGTGTTGCTTAAGCGATGCTAGAAAGACTTATCCATAAGCACATTCCAGTGTTCTCCCGGGATATATTTGGTGAGATGTGCCAAGTTCTAGACAACACTTGGGAACCTTGGTCCTGTCTCGTAACTATGTGAAACTAGAAAAGCCTGCAGACAAGGGCTGGTTTGTCTGACTCAGCTTTGAATTCCCTCGCCCTCACGCACAAGTGGATGTGCTGCAATCCTAACCCATAGGGCATCATCCCGCTGGGTGGAAACAACACAGAGGTTGCCTCTCAGGAGACAACCCTGGCAGCCAGAGCTCCTCTCAGAGAAGGATTCTTTTTGTTGTTATTTATTTGTATTGTTGGTGCCGAGGGGTCCCAGTCAGGGATCGGGGCCCTGTTTGTGCAAAAGGAAAGCCTGTCCCTGTCCATATAAGCTTACACGATGCAACATGTGGCCAGACAAACGGGGGAGTGTAGGAGCAAGGTAGCAGAGTGTCATCTGTGCCTCCTCAGCAATTGCTTTTGGCAGTGACCAGCAGTGAGTTATTTGAATTTGACCTGTTCCACTAATTTGGATGTAGGTTGGGGCGGATTTCAGTTTCTCCGGGTTGCTGGTCTGCCACAGCATGAATCTGTCCCATGTTAGCATGCCAGGATTATTCACGCCTTTCGGCTGGACTACAGCAGTGCAATAGCCCTGGGCATGAAGCCATCAGCACCCAGGAAACTCCAGCTGGTACAGAACACTGCAGCACATCTCCTGGGAAACCCAGGCTACCCACAAGCACATCAGCCCTGCCCTCTGCTTCCTAAACCAGCTTCCTGGTATGGAATACTCAATCATGTTCAAGGTCGTGGCCCTTATCTTCAAAGTGCTCCGTGGCTTGAGCCCAAGGTGTCTAAAAGACTGCCTAAAGTTCTGGTATGAAGATCATGATTGACAGCTGTGCTCTTCTGGCACAGTGAAACTTTCAACCCTACATATCAAGCTTCTCTGAGCAGGAGACACAGCCTTCGCACGAGCCGGCCAGAGACTGGAACAGACTCTACAAGAACTGAGACTATCACAAACCTCCCCACCTTCCGCTCCAAGCATCAGAGGCATTTCTTGGACCATGTCTTCTCTAACATAAATATGCACCCCCCCCCCCACCTTTTCCAGTATATCTGTGTGTATGCTAGTATAAAACTTCCAGAACAAAACACACTTCTCTGCATCGAGGGGGGTGAGAAAACCGCCATATGACAGAGGTTAGTCCCCTGGCTTAATGCACTGCTGGAAGGTGTGCAGTCAAGCCCCTAGGAGCCAGGTATGTGACGTGGGCGCTGAACACCAGAGCAAAGAGAACAGTCTCTGCCCACAAGAATACGGCACTGAGCCTTTAGACTCCAACCCAAGGCTCAGGTGCTGAGTTCTGTTCTCTCTCTGACCACCCGTATCTATCCCAGAATGACACTGACCGCACCAGACTTGCCCAGTGATGGGCACTGTTCTCTGTGAAGGAAACCATCAAGATTCTACACCTTCCAATGAGACCAAGGTCCTTGCAGGGCCCAGTGTGGCCTCCAAACCTGGTGGGGTTCTTCTCCCCCCCCCCCTTTTTTTTAATAGCAAGAGGACACTTAGCAGAGGATGGGGGGGGGAGCTATTCCCTTGTAGCATCCCCTCGACAAACAGTGGTGCTGTGAACGGGGGACAAATGGCTGCATGTGAGATCCTGCCTGCTGTTCACCAAAGTCCCCTCTCAGCTGCAGTTTGATGGGCACAGGGGGCTCAGTGTCACTCAGAGCTACAAGCGAGAGGGCTTGGCTTCCACTGAGACCTGGGTAGCCCAGGCTGTTGCAGACCAGAACCTCAGTGAAGAACTTGTTCAGAGTAAGGTCCCTCCCAACAGGGGTGGTTTCACTGCCATTACTCAGGCTTGCTGCATATCGAGCTGGGTAAGGCATAGCTAGAGCACATCAGAACTAAAGCCAAGGAAGGAGCCATGGAGTTCAGTGATTGTATGGGACCAAACAAAGAAAAAACTGGAAGGGGAGGGAGGGTGGATGATAGGGTCAAAACAAGAGCATGGGTTGGGGATACTGAGCAGAGAAGCTTGCGTAGCACCCACCACTGCAAAGGAGGCTAAAGTGGCAGGGGACATTGCACTGAGCTGTGGGATAGGCAGGCTCCACTCACAGAGAACATCCTTGGCAGTGGCGTAGCTAGGTCCTAAGTGCAGGGGGAGCAAACCTAAAAAAGGTGGCCCCCCTTGGCTCCTCCTCTGGCCGCTCCGCGCGCCCCCCCCCCCACTGGCTCCTCCAGCCGCACTGCACACACCCCCCCCTTGGCTCCTCCAGCCACGCTGCGGCCATGCTGCGCCCCCCCCCTCCTCGGAGGGGCTCGGTCCGGGAGGAGGGGGCCGGGGGCGGGCTGGCGGCGAGGGCTAGCGGCTCCCCCCAGCAGAGCAGCAGGCACAGCCTTTGGGGAGGCCGGAGGGCTCCTCATGGCAGAGGTGGGGGGAGAGCCGTACGGCTCCGGCCACGTTCCGAGAACCGGGGCCGGCGCCCTGGGGCCTGAGCCAGGCCGGAACCGCCGGGACCGGGCCGGCGCGCTCGGCCGGAGCTGCTGGGGCCGGGGCCGGCGCCCCTGGTCCCAAGCCGAGCCGGCGCTGCTGGGGCCGGCCGGGGCCAGACTGGGCCATGCCGCGCCTCCCCAGAGCCCTCCTCCTCGCGTTCCCCCCCCGCCCCAGCTTACCTGCTGGCCTGCCCCTGCGTGTTTTCAGACTTCCTGTGAACATGTGATTCGCGGGAAGCAGTGGAGGGGGAGACGCAGGGGGGGGGGGCAGAGCGTTCAGAGGAGGGGGAAGTGAGCTAGGGGAGGAGGGGACAGCTGCGGGGCCCTTTTAGGTGCGGCCAGCCCTGCTCAGGCGCCGCTTTTGAAAAATGTGATGAGGGGAAGTGGCCGCTTCCCCTGCACCCCACTAGCTACGCTACTGAGCCCTGTGAGCTCCCGCCTCCTATGGTGGGGGATGCCAGCTGGGCCAGTGGCAGGAAGGTGACAGGGAGGCCTTGTGCCTGCAGCATGGTGTGCACAGATAAGGAGAGGTGGGGAGATGTGAAGCCAGAACCTCAGCAGGAGGAGCCCCAGAGGGGGAAGTGTTGGGACTCAGTGAGCCACACCCAGCCCATGTCTGGGCTCATGGCTCCAAGGAGTTGCTGATTTATGAGCCTGCCAGGCCATGGAAGCCAGTTGGAAAGACAGCACTTAATGCAAGATGGGCCCTCAACCTGGAGCACAGGCCACCCTATCATCCTTAAACCAGCCTTGCAAAAGCACCCTGCAAACACATGGTCCAAGGCACAAAATGGCCTTGCCTGCCCTCTGCCCAGTGCTTAGGAATGGGGAAGCTGCCAGGACCATCTGTTCCTGTCCAACTCTCGGGCGTGGGAGGTAGGAGTTGCAAGACTGCTTTAAGCGTTCAGTCTGTGTTAGCTTGAGTGTAATTTCTGGGTCCAGTTGTACTATACGAGGCTGCAGTGTTGGTAGCCCCAGCAGTGGGGGAGAGAGCCCAATGGTGCTCCATAGTGCCACCTGCTGCTGGGCCAGGAATAGCAGCCAAAGGGCTCCTACCTAAGGGGTAGTTATGATGACAAAAGGCAAAGGAGAAGATATTTCATAAAAAGGGAGGGGATAAGGGCTGAAGAAAGGTTTGATCAGACCTGGGATTTCTTGACACCCTCTGCCCCCCCCCCCACAAAGTTTCTTCCCTTTTGGTGAACCTACTGAAGGGGTATTGCTGGGCAGCACTAGGGAATACACACAGTGGCATGCTAGTAAAGATCCAACATCTCAAAAGTGCCTAAATCCCATTGATTTCAATACTAGTGAGGGGCCTAGGTGCTTTAGAAAATCCCACCTGCTATCTGGCTCATCAAGAACCTAAATACCTTTAAAAATCTGGCCCCCAGTGACTTGGGCACATTCAAAAATGGGACTTAGATGCCTTTGAAACTGTTACTCTCTGTGGTGATTGGGTCCCTAGCACCTCCACTGAGCAGGATCTATTCTGTCAGTGCAGCTGCTACAAACATTCTCCTGGGATTTTCCCTTTAGAAATCAGTGATGTTGCACAAAAAGAGTCTCTTCAAGTAAATAATTGGGTGGGGGCTTTGCTATAACAAGATGGTTCAGCTTTTGAATGGCGTTAAAGCACTTTCCAATGACTTGCTAATCTAGTATGCTGGAATTACAGCACGTTAGAGGGTATTGTTGCACTTGAATAAAAAACAAAAAAAAGGTATAAAGCTCACAACCCTCAGCAAGTAACATGGGGACAAGTGTTCTCTTGTGAAATGAGAGCTGTATGTCATGTCTGTTGTGTGGGATGCTGTGGAGTAGTCTGTGCAGTGTGACAGACTAGCTGCATGTATTGATTGTGTATCTTCATAGAATTTTCAAGCAGTTGCAGGTAAAGTCCTTAGTCAACAATGTTATGGAGAACTATTGATGCTACACTGAACTTCTACAAGGAACGTTCCTTTTTTAGACCAGCACCAGCGTTATGTAGTAATGCGCTAGGAGCGCCAGTGAAAACACTGAAGACAAACATGATCCTTGTCTATTTAGAGCTATTTTTAACAGGTAAGCCATCTGTAACTTAATTGGTAATGAGAATCTAATTTATTCTCATTAAGGCACCTCCTACAAATGGTAAAAGCGTGTACTGATCCTTGCAGAATATGGTACTTTTACACCACACTGTTTCTATATAGCATCTCCATTGAAAACTGGTTTAGGAGGCTTGCTCACTCATACTGAGCAAGATGAGTGGATTTACTCATTCACACCAGTTATCATCCTACTGCTTATTGTAATTATACTTTAGGGTTTCTGGGTACTTGTTAAGCTTTTAGTTGTTGGCTGGAGAGTTCACACATTTCAATTGTAAAGTTGCATGAACTGGCACCCTGCCAGAGCTGTACTTTGTAACAGACAGACTGCCTGGATATTCAAAATGAAGTTTTAAATAAACACACATGGACTTTTTAAAGTTTTTTTTTTTTAAATTGCTTAATAAAGAGATTAAGCGTTATCCTTTCTTGTATCTCACTTTTTCTGTTT